CACCACTGTCCGCCCGCCGCCACCACTGTCCACCCGCCGCCTCCACTGTCCGCCCGCCGCCACCACTGTCCGCCCGCCGCCGCCACTGTCCGCCCGCCGCCGCCACTGTCCGCCCGCCGCCGCCACTGTCCGCCCGCCGCCGCCACTGTCCGCCCGCCGCCACCACGGTCCGCCCGCCGCCGCCACTGTCCGCCCGCCGCCACTATCCGCCACCGTCCGCCAAAGCTGCCACCACGGTCCGCCCGCCGCCACTATCCACCACAGCCGCCACTGTCCTCCCGCCGCCACTGTCCGCCACCCGCTGCCACTGTCCGCCCGCCGCCACTATCCGCCACCGCCGCCACTGTCCGCCCGCCGCCACTGTCCGCCCGCCACCACCACCCGCCACCGCCGCCACTGTCTCTGCCACCGCCACCACTGTCTGCCACCCCGCCACCACTGTCTGCCCGCCGCCACCACTGTCCGCCCGCCGCTACCACTGTCCCGCCCGCCGCCACCACTGTCACGCCCGCCGCCACCACTGTCCACCCGCCGCCACCACTGTCCGCCACCAGCCGCCACTGTCCGCCACCGCCACCACTGTCCGCCACCGCCCGCCACCACTGTCCGCCCGCCGCCACCACTGTCCGCCCGCCGCCACCACTGTCCGCCCGCCGCCTCCACTGTCCGCCACCCGCCGCCACCACTGTCCGCCCGCCGCCACCACTGTCCGCCCGCCGCCTCCACTGTCCGCCCGCCGCCTCCACTGTCCGCCCGCCGCCACCACTGTCCGCCCGCCGCCGCCACTGTCCGCCCGCCGCCGCCACTGTCCGCCCGCCGCCGCCACTGTCCGCCCGCCGCCGCCACTGTCCGCCCGCCGCCACCACTGTCCGCCCGCCGCCACCATCCGTCACGCCCGCCACTGTCCACCCGCTGTCACTGCCCGCCCGCCTCCACTGTCCGCCCGCCGCCTCCACTGTCCGCCCGCCGCCACCACTGTCCGCCCGCCGCCGCCACTGTCCGCCCGCCGCCACTATCCGCCACAGCCGCCACTGTCCGCCCGCTGCCACTGTCCGCCCGCCGCCGCCACTGTCCCCGCCGCCGCCACTGTCCGCCCGCCGCCACTGTCCGCCCGCCGCCACTGTCCGCCCACCGCCACTGTCCGCCCGCCGCCACTGTCCGCCCGCCGCCACCACTGTCCACCGCCGCCACCACTGTCCGCCCGCCGCCACTGTCCGCCCGCCCCGCCACTATCCGCCACCGCCGCCACTGTCTGCCACCGCCGCCACTGTCTGCCACCGCCACCACTATCTGCCCGCCGCCACCACTGTCCGCCCGCCGCTACCACTGTCCGCCCGCCGCCACCACTGTCCACCCGCCGCCACCACTGTCCTCCCGCCGCCGCCACTGTCCGCCCGCCGCCACTACTGTCCGCCACCCGCCGCCACTGTCCGCCCGCCGCCGCCACTGTCCGCCCGCCGCCGCCACTGTCCGCCCGCCGCCGCCACTGTCCGCCCGCCGCCGCCACTGTCCGCTCGCCGCCGCCACTGTCCGCCCGCCGCCACTGTCCAACACCGCCGCCAAAGCTGCCACGGTCCGCCCGCCGCCACTATCCGCCACAGCTGCCACTGTCCGCCCGCCGCCACTATCCGCCACCGCCGCCACTGTCCGCCCGCCACCACCATCTGTCACCGCCGCCACTGTCCGCCCGCCGCCACTGTCCGCCCGCCGCCTCCACTGTCCGCCCGCCGCCTCCACTGTCCGCCCGCCGCCACTATCCGCCACCGCCGCCACTGTCCGCCACAGCCGCCACTCTCCGCCGTACAGCCTCCCCTCTCTCCGTTAGTAAATAATTATAATTGTTAGTAAATAATAAAAGAAATATAAATTATTAGATTTTTTTTACCCTTAAATTGGTTTTAATATTTAAATTGAAAATAATAATATAATATAAAATATAATAAAAATAATATAATAATAAAATATAATTTAATTCAAGAAATTTAACTTTAAACACAAAGATGTGAAAAGGGTTCAGATTATTGGCTCAAACCTTTCATAAGAGATTCATATTGGTATATGAATGGATTATGAATGACTCATGTTAGGAGTGTAAAGTTGCCACAACATCTCAAATTAGTGTTAGATACTATGTCTTGGTTATAAGTTTTGGAAACCTATTTAAGTCCACACACAATATCGTATCTGATACGATAAAACAAACGTTTCCAATACTTTCAAATACTTTCCAGATATGTTGTGGCAACCTAAAATTGTTTGCTGGGCTGTGTAAAAATGTCGTCAACATACCTGCAGTATATGGCCGGTCTCAAGTTCATGTCGACTAAGACTTTTTGCTCGATGGTACCCATGTTGAAGTTTGCAAACAGGACACCTAGGGGAGAACCCATGGCGACCCCATCTACTTGCTTATACATGTGCCCATCCGGGCTCAAGAAGGGTGCCTCTTTAGTACAAGCTTGGAGTAGTTTCCTCAGAATATTTTCTGGTATGTCAAGAGGAGTACAGGCTGGATCACGATACACTCTGTCGGCTATCATTCCGATTGTCTCGTCCACAGGTACGTTGTAAACAGCGATTCTACGTCCAACGAGGCTCTTATCCCTGTGGCCCGTGTGCCCCGCAGTAAGTCAACAAATTCCTTTGGAGACTTCAGGCTGAAGCGGCAAGGAACATAAGGAGTCAGCAGGCCGTTGAGTCGCTTCGCCAGTCTGTACGTGGGTTGGGGTATCTGGCTAATGATTGGCCGAAGTGGGTTTCCAGGCTTGTGCGTCTTGACATTTCCATACGCATATCCAGGTTTATATTCCCCAATGATCTTTGGCAGGTGGAGTCCGGATTTCTTGGCGTTCACAGTTTCGATCAGTTTGTTGACCTTTGCTTTTAATTTCGGCTGTAGTGTCCTTCGTTACCCTTTGGAACTTAGTTTGGTCAGAGAGTAATGATGTTCATTTTCGCCAGATATTCGTCTTTTTTAAGATGACATATATTGGCGACTTGTCACCTCTCCTGACAACTATCTCCTTGTTCTCACGAAGGCTTTTAGCTGCCGCTTTAAGCTCGGGGGACAGTATGGTGCTTCTGTAGTTGCCTCGATTCTTTCCTCCTTCTGCAATAAGTTCTGCTTGTAAGGTATCTTTTGGTAGTGACCTTCTTTTGTGTCTCGAGGTCGAATATGTCGTCCAACAGAATTTCCAACTCTACTTTCCGGCCATCTCACTCGGTCTGGACATAACATGACAGTTTATGCCCAGATTTAGGAGAGTGACTTGGTCCTCAGTGAGGTTAATTCCTGCAAGGTTCAGGAAGCCATCTCTTGGTCGTGGAATTGCCATAGGTCCTTCATAAAATTTTATGAGTTTCTTGATAATCCTTGTTTCAGTGCTGAGGTGATGTTGGTCTGTGAGGATGTCGAGGTGTTGTTCAATGCGGGTACGGATACTATCGTCGATGTTGCTATTTCCCCACTCGTTTGTAGCATGAAGTAGTTGTGTTTTAATTGTGAGGAATGAGGAATTAACCTAATTGTGAGGTGTGAATTTTTGATTTACCTCCAACAGTGAAGCGTAATGTACGAAAGATTGAGAAAATTCGTGTTAGAATTATTAATCTTACTTTTTCGGTCATATTTTAATAATACTAATATATATATATATATATATATATATATATATATATATATATATATATAATATATATATATATATATATAGATATATATATATATTATATATATATATATATATATATATATATATATTATATATCTATATATATATATATATATATATATATATATATATATATATATAATATATATATATATCTAGATATATATATATATATATATATATATATATATATATATATATATATATATATATATATATATATATATATATAATATATATATATATATATATATATATATATATATATATATATATATATATATATATATATATATATATATATATATATATATATATATGTATAATATATATATATATATATATATATATGTATATATATATATATATGTTATATATATATATATATATATATATATATATATATATATATATATATATATATATATATATATATATATATATATATATATATGTATGTCGTCCGCCGAGACTTGGCTAATGGCTTTGTCTTTCACGTGGCTAAGACAAAAGGTAACAGTCAACTGGCGGTTAACTATTTGCGGGGCGGGGGGGGGGGGGCGGTTAATCACTTATACCTGACACGGGCGGCCAATCTTTGATGAGTATTTGTTTAGACCTAGTGGGAGAAACACCTCGTCACGTCGTTCCGCTTAAGTAAGTTTACATTATTTTTACTGTTAAAATTCTTATCCTTCTTATCTCATGCTCAACCTATTCCTTCAGGTTGTTTTTATTACAGCTCCTCCTCCGACTTCCTCCCCTCTCCCCCTGCTTCCTTCCCCCTCCCCTGCACCTGCTGCTGCTGCTCCTCCTTCAGGTTTGTTATGGCGCCTCCTGTTGCTTCCTTTTCTCTCTCCCTCTTTAAACCTTCTTCCTGTATTCTATATTGTTCTCATCCTATGTTTCATCTTCTTACCAAGCACCAAAAACACATCCACTCCCCGTAAACATCTCCCTCTCTCTGTCAAAAATTCAGGGGGAGGATCTTACGAACTTTATGACCCTTTCACCCACTCACCTACATCTTCCGTCTTCAGACTCCTCCCTCAACTCGCTCCTTCATTCACACTCTTTCTTCTCAGCTTAAAAAAAAAAAAAAAATAAGCTGCATGACCTTCTCCTCACCCTTTCACGACTACACTCACTACACTCGAACACTTCTTGCTCCTCCCATTCAGCTCTCAGCCAATCACAGTCTTACTTTCACACAAACACACACACAGAAATTCCTCATACACCGGAAGGGGTCCCCATAAAAATCACCATTACAAAGTCACACAATGTTCACATCCAAAAAAAGCTTACACTGTAGAGGGTCCCCTCCACATGAACACAGAAATCCCGCCCACTCCAATACGCATCCAAAAATCACTCTTACAATGTTCTCACAACGTTCACTTCTCCATAAAACACTTACACCGTAGAGGGTCCCCTCCATCTGGACTTCCGGTGTACCCAGGTGTACCCGGGTCCAGATGGAGGGGACCCTTTACAGTGTAAATCTCCCTACTTGTAACATCTCTTGTATATATCTAAAAAAAAAATACATGCACAAAACATGAATCACACACAAAACAATGTCTTTTCATAATGTGGGATTCAATTCCATGGTTTTAAATTAAACAAAGTTAATAAATAAATATGTATAATAAATGAACTATTAGAAGATAGGAAATGTATTATTTAATAATTATGTATTATCACTATATTATTTTAAGGCATGAGAAGATAGATAAATTTATATTTATTGCAAAGATTGACAACAGAGATATTATTGTGTGTTTTGTTCAGATGGACGGAAGGTGGGCCTCGTCAGGTTCCAAAATGGAGACGTGGCAACGACAGAGAGCCTCCTTGACACTGGTCTAGGCGGCCTGCCCAACCTGCAGCAGGTAGGTACATTTGGGATCATGTGTTGAGCTGGTAACTTGAGACCCTCCCAAACACCGATGTAGGCGACCAATGTAGTCAGGTTGATCAATGTAGTCAGGCTGGTGAAGCTAAAGGCAGTCGAGAGAAAATTTATAACAAACGCAATGAAAATATGCTGGATAAAATAATGGTTAAAACAAATTAATTATATTGTTATATAGAAACCTACACTAGGAAGCCTTCATTCATAATTAACCTGTATATTAAGATAGCATTATTATAGGTAGCCTTCTGCTAGCAAGTGGCAATTACTAGGTATGTATCCTTTTTTCCAAGTAGAAACCTTTATACGGTTTCTACCTTATTTAAGGTACCCTTGTAAGGTAGAAAGCTTTTATAAGGTAGATAGCCTTCAGGAGAACGGTAGATAGTGTTACCTGAACCAAAATCTCGTTAAGAATTTTCCTGTTGTTATGATCATTATATTATTAACGTACCTTACTTAAGTCCAAATAACGCCATATGTCACCCTTAACCCTTATTTAACCATTGGAGGTAATTTAACCTCTCTGTTTAGTGTATCTGACCCCTCACAAGAATTGCAATTTACAACTTTGCTACACAGGAGGACTCAGAACTTACCATTAACCGAGAGAGTAACATCATAGCTAGTGTGAAAGATCTCTCTTCACTCGCACCATTTCACATCCCTCCGGTGGATACATGCTGATAATCATTACTCTGATATGACAAGTCGTTAGACTTCACAACACCGGCAGGTCAGCGCATTACCAACTATGAAATGATCCCATCCAGATGATAAATCATATGATATATAATATTTGGTAAATTTTTAATAATTGTAGTTTTACTGCCTGTGTCTGTTACGATAGCTTTCCTGTGCATGTTGACGTAATGCTGATTATATTCATTAAAAGATGAAGGGTTCAACTCCTCAGCATAGTGACACCGGTACTTGATATTTTTAATTTAAACTGGAACTCTGTACCAGTGACTATGAGACCAGATACAAACTGACACCAGGAAACTCGGGATATCTGTTTCTTTTAAGGTTTAAACATCATGCTTGTCTTAATTAACATGCTGTGTCTCCCTAAATTACCACGTTATTCAGAGGGGAGATAACTAAAACAAAACAACTATCACCTAGCAAACACCCTCAGTGCTGCTTCCTTCACTGGAACCGCATCTATGCCAGAAACCTAAGTAAGTAATCAAACCAAACTCATATTATATATGGGGAAGAGGTATCACGTCACTAAAGGGGAAACTCAACGCCCAACAACTTCCCCTGTCATTATGTGCTCTGACCCGAACTGGACTACAAATCACTCAATCTTCGTCTCAGACAGTTTCTCTGTAATCTCTTATTCAGTGTTAAGCAGGAAGGACAACGTTTATCTCTATCTTATAAAAATCTCCCAGGGGACAAGAAGAAACAAATTTTTAAACAAACAAATGTTTAATACAAAGAAATACAATAAATAAAAATGACACCTAGGGTGAGGTCCTCAGCTAGCTTCCAGATTCTAGACTCCAGCTTCACCAACACTACACATAGAAAGTATCCTGAATTTGTTACATTGTCATTGCGCATAATTTATCTGAGAGCCACTGACACTAGTAGTCTCGACGAGGACAGCAGGAAGCAGGCGGCTTGTCGAAGGTCTCCCCCCCCCCCATTATCCTTGATGATCTTTTCCAGCTGTACTTTTAAGGTTAACAGAGTTTTGGCATTTACGGCGTTGACGGGGAAGCGGTTCCATGGGGTTTATAACCTTGTGGTTGAAAAGGCATATTCTATTCTCAGTCCTATATTGTGGCTTGTTGAGCTTGAATCCGTTGCTCCTTGTTTATGTTACATCTAACCTTTTGAAGACATTTTCTGCAATACCCTTCAAACTGTTCAGTATTTTAAAAGTCTCAATGAGATCTGCCCTCACGTGCCTGGTTTGCGGTGTAACCTTGTGGCCCTCAACCGTTCCTGATAAGTGAGTTGACTTAGCTCTGGAATTATTTTTGTTGCCCGGTGTTGCACTTTCTCCAGAGAAGCTATGTCTTTCTGAAGATGAGGTCTCCATGCCTGGATTCAGTAATCCAAATGGGGGCACACCAGAGATTTATACAATTAAATCACTCATTTTCCTTAAAGTGAAAGGTACGCTTGATTATTTCAAGTGTTTGGTTAGATTTGTTGACCGCTGCCTTACCTGCTGTGCAACTTTCATTGAGTGGTGGATTTGTCTTGAAGGTTCTTTTCTTCATCAATCTACTGTATTGTAATGTTGTTAATTTAGTAGTTGTGGCATGGTTGCTATGCCTTACATGCAAGACAAATGCAAAAGCATTTGTCAATATTAAAAAGCATTTGCCATTCTTCAAACTATTTGTGGAGTTCATGTAGATAGATCTCTTTGTAAGACTTCAACAACATTATTATTTCCAACTTTAACATAAAACTTTGTGTCATCTGCAAATTAGATGATGTATTTTGTTATATTTTCATCTATGTCATTGACGTAAATGACAAAAAGGGTTGGCCCAAAAATGGACGCCTGTGGTACCCCAATTACCCCATTTATCCAATCAGGTTCATTCCAATTTAGCACGACTCTTTGTTTTAACCATTTAACACATGTATATATTTGTATTGTATTGGGCTTCTATCTATACTGCATATTCTGTATTGATTATTTTCTTGTTTAGGGCTTCTATCACTCTGAGTAGTCCTCTTGCATCTGGGTTTAATTGGGAGTGAAGTTCTCCAAAAGTCATCTTCGTTCGAAGTGAAGAAATTAAATAAATAAATGTAGAATGTATTACACTTATTATAAAATTACACAACTTTTCGAACCAGCATAGTTAATTCTCATGTGATAGGAAAGCACAGAGCATTAATGATTTATACTATTAGGGGGTCAGAGGTAGACAAATAGACCAATACAAATGGGTCAAGAATAAGGCATAAAGGGGAGAAGAGTAATGCGTTAAATTATGAAGAAAAAGGCGAAAATAGGGTACGAAACACGTACAAAGATTAATCAGGTGTAGTGAGCGCAGCATGTTGAGCAGTGTCTTCTATGATGTCATCTTCATGTTCCGGTCTTGTTCTTACTCTCATGGTGGGAAGAGTGAATAGTTCCATAATTTGGGTATTTATGGTAGGTTGTTCTATTTTTATGTGGATCGTTTCAATAATTTTTAATCTTCTTACATCTTGAATTTTGTCTATTATACAAGTATTTTTATTCAACATTTCTCTTGTTAGGGTGATGTCATGGGCTTGTCTCATATGATTTTTGGGAGCACCTGATTGTAGATGACATGTCAAACGCCTCGTCAGCTTGTTCGACCTCATACCTATGTACTTACATTGAAGGCTGCATCTCTCTTGGAGGCAGGTGTATATATATATACCACGTTTGACTGCTGTAACGAGTTCTCCTTCGGCTTCGGGCTTTATTTTTATAAGGAGGTCGTTAATCTTCTTTGTTTTATAGAATATGATGAGGTCTACGTTCTGTTTAGGATTTATGCTTTTTACTCCTTTATGGATTATTTCTTTCATTATCCGTTCTTCTTTTTTATGTTCTTTTTTTATTTGTAAGATAATTTTATTGGAGGTGTTGCGGTTTCTGTTCTTCGTTCAGAATTGTATCATCGTTCCAGGTGTCGTCATATAGTAGTGTTTATATATGTGTTGCTATATCCATTGTTCACCAACACCTAGGTTATTCTTTCAAACTCCCGACTCACGTTGCTCCATTCAGAGCAGTGGGTAAGCACTCGACGAATATTGGCGTTGAGAACACTGGCTTTGTATCTTTGGGTGCAATCACTCCTACCGTTTAGGTATAATCCTATGTTTGTAGGATTAGTATATACGTTTGTGCTTAGAGAGGATCCTGTTTTTGTTATTAGTACATCCAGGAATGGAAGCAGACTGTTATTTTCGCTATTTTCTTGGGTAAAATAGAGAACTGACTCTCTCTATCTCTCTAGATGACTTTTAAATTAATTAGTTCGTCTGGGCCTTTTACTTTGACGAATATGTCATCTACATAACGAGAGTATACTATTGGTTTTTGCCTGTTACTGAAGACTATCTTCGGTGGTTCCCATGTAAAAATTAGAGAATAACACTCCTAAGGGGATGCCCATTGCTGCTCTGTCTATTTGTAGATACATGTTACTTTGCTGATTGATGAAAGGAGCTTCCTTTGCACATGACTCGACAAGGCTCTTCAATTGTGGCTTGGGTATGTCTAATTTGGGGGTGCTCTCTTCTCTGTATACTCTGTCCAATATCATTTCTATGGTGGAGTCGACTGAGACGTTAGTAAACAGGTATTCTGCGTCCATGGAAGCAATGATTAAATCGGGCTGTGTGGTTTTGTTTTATCTAGGAAATATGTTGAAGATTGTAGGCAATAGTTCTTTGGACAGTTCCATTCAGACAGCAGCTTGGTGGTAAGCTTGGGCATAGATATTTCATCGAATCACCTCATTTTGTAGGGCCACGTGAGCAACACACATGCGAACACTCTTGAATGGTACCCAAGCATATATGTAACAGAAAACTCCATACCCCAGAAGTATATATATATATATATATAGATATATATATATATATATATAGATATATATATATATATATATATATATATATATATATATATATATATATATATATATATATATATATATATATATATATTGTTGGGGTTTCACCTCTCTACCCTTACTCTGGGGTGAACAATAGTTATGCTCAAGGTCACTCACCGTAGCCCTGCGGGTCTTCCCTCGATCCTCACGGCGCCACTGCACGCCAGGAGAGTCTCCCAGTCAATCTTAACGGCCTCTAATTAAGAAAGAGTGAGAACACGACTCGTGCACTTGACTGTCGTGTGCCCTCCCCAACAATCGGGCTCTACGGTTAACACAAGGTCGCCAACTGGTGTTTTAGGTGGCCAGTAACACCATCAGTGGACTGGTGGAA